TGTGTTTAGTGAGGGGATATCGAGTACGAAGGTATTCAGACGAAGTTTTTTTGTTGACTCGACCGTGACCGGTGTCCACGTGATGAGGAAGGCTATGTTTGAGATCTTTAGGGCGAGAGAGAGAAAGAGAGAGAGAACAGAGAGAAGAGAGAGAGTGAGTGTGGAGTTGAAGAGCGAGGAGAGAGAGGAAATAGAATAGAAAGAGAGGGAGAGAGTAGAGAGAAGATAAACTAGGAATGTGAGAGAGAGAGAGAGAGCTGAGTGCTCTTCATGACGGATGTAAATTCATAGAGAGTGTTTGAGTTTAACCAGATCTTGAGAGCGACCTGTACACAGGTGTACCGGTGCTTTTCAGAATATTGCGGACTAGTAAGTGCCGAAGTAGTCTGAGAGTATGAGAGAGAGAGAGAGAGAAGGGCGAGAGAATATGAGCATGAGAAGAGAAGAGGACGAGGAGAGAGCAGGAGAAAAGAGAGAAAGACAGATAAGAGCACGTAACAAGCACTGATGGACGCCATAAGAGAGAAAGAAGAGAGCAGAGCAGAGAGAAACGAGAGAGCGAGAAGAGACGAGAGAGGACGAGATAGGCGAGGACTGGAGACAGAGAGGAGTATAGAGAGATGAGAAGAGAGAAGAGAGATAAAGAATGAGAAAAGCAACGAAGAAAGACAAGAGAGAAAGATGGAGAGAAAGAAAAGAGAGAAACGAGAGAAATAGCGAACATATATATCCCAGTGCAAACTATCAACAGCGCACACATGCTACCCCAAGTGATCTTATCAACCACTACCCGGCATATAAACCCAGAAGTCATGCCTCCCCGAACACAGCCCCGGGAGGGAAAGCCAAGGAACCAAAAGCTATAGCGAAAAAGCAAGGAAAAAAAGAGGCGAGTTCTGGTTCGGCGGCCGACATATCACGTGGAACGGGAGGAAGGCGCGCCACTACAACGAAGGAGAAACGGTCAAAGCTAACAGTCGTGACGGCGCGACCCCACTCGGGTAACCGCCGGTCACTCGCAACAACTTCAGGGATAAAAGAAATTGCGAAAGACTAAAATTGCCCCTAAAAGTAAGCACCACTGTATGAAATAAGCCCCAACCAATAAATGAAATTGGGGACTAAATATATGAGCAAGACATTACACATGCCTCATCAAAAAAAGGCGTAACAGACTCGCCTGAAACATGGCATAGCCAAACAGACATGCTCTCCCTTCATTCCACAATCCAGTGACCGGCGAAAGAATATCCCTACTCGGAATAATACAAAACCCCCATCAAACTTACAAAATCACACGGATCCCCACCGCGGCTCCCACCGTACAACATAGCCACTTAAACCCCGTCCTTCTAGACACCACACATAATAAAGTGGACACCACGTTAATTTCCCTCCGAGAGAGCGAGAGCGAGGATCACCTCCACAATCCGAATCCTCGACGATCCCGAGACACTATATTAAAGATGGAGCGGAAATCATTTCTCTCTTGATGGGGCATACAGTGCGCGCGTATCCAAGAAGCACGTCGCTCTGGCCCTAACGCTCTCCAAGCCATGTGCCGCAGACGTCTCTCTATCTCTCATCTCACTATTTCCTTTTCCGCACACACCTAGGGACTTCGGCGCCGATATCTTTATCTCTGTATCACTCTACCTAGACACGCTTGATCACCTGTGAGGCAAGTGCATGTATCGGAATGGGTATAAAAATTGCCTATTCACGTACGATATACAGTGCGGAGTTGTATTCTCCAGCCACAGGATATCGTATAGATTACTCACTACCAAACAGTCCCAGAAGCCACATGAAACCAATCAGTTCCCTATATAAGTGTAAATACCAATCTTTACACATGTACTTATTTCTCCCATTATATTAATACCAATATCAAGACACTAGATAGGCCATGATATGTTGCTGCTTGCATAAATATATACATTTGCACATTACACGAACATCCAGTTTATACCCATAAAATATTTTAAAAAATACATATTGGAACAGCCATAACCAGCACAGATATTCGTACGCAAGCAAATCAGCAAGCCATGTCAAGCTGCGTCAAAAAATAATAACAAAAAAACGCACAAAACTTCCATCCCGCATAATTATTGTTCACATGGCCCAAACGACTTCCGTTACATAATCAAGTCTCCATTATACACCTGTCAATCCCTCACCATTCTCCACACATCACCCTCGTTAACATCACCCAGATGATCAAAAGGCGTGACAAAAGGTCCTGAGATAACTAAAACTAAAAACTGACTTCCCGTTTCCCAATTATCTCCATTTTCCGAATGACAATTCATTTTGGTTTAAAAAAAGAGCTGTTACTTTCAATCCTCATTCTTTTCATTTCCCCCGCGCCCTCTCCTCCTTCCTCATTCCTCGTCATCTTCGTTTTTCCCTCTTCCTCTCCTTTTTCCATTCTCCAACCATATACCGTAACGCGCCCACCCCTCCTACCTTCCTACCCCCTGCGCTCCCTAATACCCACCGTTACCCTGTCAACAAACTTTTTGCCTCCCCCCTTGGCAGAATCTACTGACCTATACCCCCCCCTCTCCGCCGGCCTCTCTCACTCTCGGTCCCTAACTCCCTTCGCCTGACGTATCTATCTCCCTCCATTCTCCTTCATTCTCGATCTGCCAGTTCTCTAGCTCGTGGCTACAAAAGCTGCCTCTCTCTCTACGTGTCTCTCTCTCTACTACTCCATAATCCTCCCTCTCCCTCTTCATACGCCTCTCTTCCCTGCGGCATCTCCCTACTCTCCTTGGACGCTCTCATCGTGGCTCTGCTCTTCGTCTTCTCTCTCTGTCTCTCTCTCTTCTCTCCCTCTCTCTCTCTCTCTCTCTCTCTCTCTCCTCTCTCTCTCTTCTCTCCTCTCTCTCTCTCTCCTCTCTCTCTCTCTCCCTCTCTCCCTCTCTCCCTCTCTCCCTCTCTCCCTCTCTCCCTCTCTCTCCTCTCTCCCTCTCTCCCTCTCTCATTCATCCAGCAATGACGACGAAATGAGCCCCCCACACCTCACGGCTTAATGGCGCGTCGCTTTCCGAGCCAAGGTCATCTGCATGGTGTTCTTATGGGCGAAGGGAGCCGCGAAACCTATTGTGAATGTTGTTTGCATTTCGTGACGATTATCCATTGTGTGTGATTCTTTTTTCCTTTTTTTCTTTTTGTTTCCTTTTTTTTAGGGAAGAGTGACGGGGCTCGAATTTACACTTGATTATAAGCGTGTCATTGAATGGCAACGAACGCACTCCCCCCCCCCCCCCCATCCACACCCCCACACCCACCCACCCCTCTTGTTTCACTGTCTTCATTTCCTGGTTTCGTAATTACGAATGCCTTTTCAGCTACGTAGCCTTGGCTATACTGAATTCCTATTCTTCTTTTTTAACTATTTCTGCCTCCCCCCATCTCCCTATCCCTGTATTCACGCTTTCGCTTTTATTTCTTCCATTTCCTCATTTTCTTCCCGCTCACTTATCTCTTTTCATCCTCCATTCTTCTACGCTTCATTTTACTTCCCTCTTTCTTTTATTCCTTACCCTTATTTCTCAAGCATAAATTACGAACGATATAATCTCCAGTTTATCTTCTCTCCTCTTCATTACACTTAACTCTCATGATGCGAACTCTTCACTCTTGCAAATTCAAGCAACGCGAATTATGCACTTAGTACCTTGCAATTCCCCGCTCTCATATCCACTCTTTTCCAGTGTATCTTCTGCAAATCCTTATCTCGACTCTCGCATTTACATATTCTAAAAGTATTCCATTATTCTCGGATCTCCGTTAGCTACCACCAATCCATCTAAAGCAAAAAAAAAACATAAAATAATAAAAATAAATAAACATAAAAAATCAAAAAAAATCAAAAAAAAATATTAAAAATACTATATACAACAAATAATCAAATCTTAAGAAAACAACGAATATGATAAAGGTAAAGAAGCACAATCAAATGCTGAAATAGAAGTAACAGATCCATAAAATAGCAGTCACGAACACAGAAATCAATGTTCATCACTGATCGACAAAAACCTCCCGCGCGCCTCCCACGCCACCTGCCGGCCGTGCCAGCGATCGCGCTCGCAAGGCACCGGTTCCGAATTGGTCGTTCTTCACGGCCGCTTGACCGGTTCCGACGTTCAGTTCGCGCCCTCTTGCGAACGTTGCGCGCTGTATCCCAGCTATCTTAGTTTTGGCCACTTTTTTTTTCTTTTCTTATTTGGGTTGTGTCTGGATTTGAGGGGGGGGGGGTGGAGGGAGGAGGGGTAGGGCGGGGCGGCGGCGGTGGGGAGGGGGAGGCGGGAGAGTAGGAGGGGGGGACGAGGTAAGGGGCGACGGGAGGCGGGTGAGGCCGGGGGGCCGGGGTGGGGGAGGGGGAAGGAGGTGGGCGTGAGGGCGGGGCGGCAGGGTGGGCGGGGGAGGAGAGGGGGGAGTGAGGGGCGGGGGCGGTGGAGTGGGACGGGGTGGGGGCGGGCGGAGGTGGAGAGCGGCGGAGCGGGAGTGGGGTGTGCTCGTAGGGGGCGGGGGCGGTGGCGCGAGGGGGAGGCGGGGAGAGGGGGTGGGGGAGGGGGGGCGCGGGAAGGACTAGTCGGGGGGTGGGGCGACGCGGGGAGGGGGGCCGAGAGGGGGAGGGGGGGGGCGGAGGAGGCGGGGCGGTTGATTGCGGCTGCGGGGGGCGGGGCATCTGCTGCGCCCCGCTGGACGGCTGATAGGCCTGGGGTGTCGTTGTCGCAGTGGGAACGCGCCAGGCAGCGGCGGCGGGCTGGGGCGGGCGGCGAGAAGGACGGCCGGGATGCGGGGGAGGGGAGCGCGAGGGGCGGGTGCGAGTCTGTCATAGCATGGGTGCGGGCAGCGGTGTGCTGGATAGGAGGGGGCGCGCGCGGAGGGATCGCAGCGGGTAGCGGGGGACCCCGCGTGGGCGGGCGGGCGTGTGATGCTGGAGGGCGGCGTGCTGTGATGGGCGGGGGGCCCAGAGGGACGGTTCAGAGTGGGGGATAGGTCGGGGCGGCGAGGAGGTCTGCGAGCAGGGGCGTAGCCGACGTGGGGTCTGCGGGGGGCCGCGCCGGGACGGTGCCTGGGGGAGCGTTGTCGGGGAGCGGGGCGCGGATGAGGGGTGCGGCGGAGTGCGCGCGGGTGCCGGCGTCGCAGGAATGGTGTGGTCGTAGGTCCATGCGAGGGTGCGGAGAGGCTGGGGGTGGGGCGCGTGCAGAGATGGGTGTGCGGTGAGATGGTGCGGGGGCGTACGGGGGCGAGTCGCGTGGATCGATAGAAGTAGTCACCAGAGAGAGCAGCGGACGGCTGGCTGAGCGGGTGTGACGGATGGTAGTAGGGGGCGGAAGCGGAGGGGCGGCGGAGGTGAAAGCAGGTGGCGAAGGGAGGTGGCAGACTGGGTGTGACGGAGCGAGGATGAGTGGGCTGGGAGGTGCGGGTGCGAGCAGGGCGGTGAGGAGGAGGGGGCGGAGGGAGGGGAGGGGAGGAGGGGGTGAAGGGAGGGGGGGGGGTGGGGGCGGGGGGGTGGGAGGAGGGGGGAGGGAAGAGGAGAGGGAGGGGGAGGGGGGTGGCGGGGAGGAAGGGCGGCGGGCGGCGGGGGGGGGGGAGCGGGGGATGGCGAGGGGGGGGAGGGGTGCGGGGTGGGGGGAGGGGGGGAGGCGGGGGGGGGTGGTGGGCGGGGGGGGGGGCGGGGGGGGAAAAGTGGCCATTCTCTTTAGTTTGCACACTTTTTTTCTTTTCTATATTTGGCTTGTGTCGGATGAAAGGTGGCCATTTTCATCAAAAACACTATATTGCTATGCATTATAATGGTCAGGTTGCATATAAAGATACTATGTTGAATTTCTTATGATTAATGCTAATAGTAACGCAATGGTTTTGTACATGTCCTTCCTATCTAAATAGCATTATGGGGTTTATCATTCAACTCCACACAATAACCATCACTAGCAAGCAGCCCACGTATTAAAGTGGAAATTCGATAAACTATACAGGACATGAATTTCCAAATACATGTTACATAACCAATATACACCGACACACAAACTGCTATCTCTGGATGGGACACGACTGATTACACGCGGAAGACAAAAAATAAGATAAATTCACCGCTTTCTGGGGTAAAACTCGAGATAAATTGGCTGCAGATCATTGAAATGGTTCGTAGATATTGCAAGGATGCACTAGTCACTTTGCAAGAGTGTGTGGGCGTCCCTTATTCCACGTTACACCCTCTACCCTCTTCCACCTCCCTTCCACCGGCCTCCCTCCCCCTCAACATCCCCTTCCACCCCAACCCCCCCCGCCACCCCCCTACCCACCGTCGGCCCACCTGCTTGTCTTTGTTGGCGGCGCCGTTTCCGTGACGCCGCATACACGCACCTCTTTGCATAGGGTGAATAGAAGCGAATATCGTGTGGAAGGGACATGACTCGAGTCGCATGTATCGAGTGGACGTGATACGGGCGGGGGAAAAAAGGAGTGAAAAAATAAAGGACACTTCAGACAGAAAGTGACGTGTGAGACTGTGGCGTGGGACGAAAGGACATGACATGAGCTGAAGATAGAAGGTGAGATAGAGAACGTGACGTGTGGAAAGAGACATGATCCGAGCGACAGACGTGATTTAGGACGGCAGACTGAAATAACAGAACCTGACATATGACAAGAACAAATGACGCAAGTAAGTGACATGACACTGCAATGCCGTGACAATAGATGAAGCCACACAAGAAAAAAATGTAAAGCAACAAATACAACTATTTCGGAAATATACCTAAATACTCAAAAGAAAATATTCAAATGCCCCAACGATAAAAGTCCGACATGTGGAATAAACTTTCGAGCTAGAAGCAAGATATAAACAAACAAATAACAAAGTTTCCAAGAAATTCTGGAAGCGAATCCAAAGAACGCAGCAGCGGAAAGATATATACAAACATAAATCTGCATCTATCTATACCTATCAAACACATACGCGCGCGCACACACACACACACATATTATTATATAGCATATCGTATTATATTATATAATATACAATATATATGTAATACATGATATATATAAAAATATAATGTATATAATATATACATTGTATAAAATAACATATACATATCATAGATAGATAGATAGATAGATAGATAGATAGATAGATAGATAGATAAACACATTCATGCAAACCTATTCCCTAGAATAAACACGGCGATATTCCGCCACGTCCCCTCGCAAAATATCCAAAGCCAAAAACACAGCAAAGCAAAAAATCCCAAGAACATCCCCAAACAAAACTTAAATGAAAACCCCAGCAACAGACAAAGGCGCGCGGCGGCCTGAGGCGAGGCATTCAACCCCAGCAACAAAGAGGAGACGAGAATAAACGAGAATGAACGAGAGCGAGCGAGAGCCCCTGGCACACGCGGTCCAAAGGGTGCAGGTCGTGTCGACGGCAGCAGAAGCAGAAGCGGAGGCAGAAGCAGAAGCAAGAGCAGGAGCCATCGGTAAGGCCTCGTCCCCTGCTCGTGGCCATGGGAAAACGTCCAACGTCGCCCTCTTGTCCCGCCGCCGCCAGCAACCCGCGTTAATCAAGGGACGTATTCACTCAAAGGTTGGGAGTCACGTACAAAGGCAATTGGATCTGCGCCTTATTTCGTTTTAACGAAATGTAGGCCTATGCTTCATGACGGAAATTAAATGAGTTTTACACACAAAACGGAGAGAGATTTTTACCGATCATAATCCACGATAGTTATGGTATTTCCTTGGTAAAAAAATAGAATATACTAAATCCTACCTGTCGTGCCTCTCTCTCATTAGTCCCTCCCTCCTTTCCCTCCTCGCCCGCCCGCCTCAGCCCACTAGACGCCGGCCAGACTTCCTCCGCCACGCCGCCATCCGCCCGACCACGTTGCTCCACGTTACTTTATGACCTCGTTTGACTTTGTTCCCTCTTCGGCTCTCGCGGTTTTCTTCTCTTTCTCCCTTCTCCAGCCTTCAGAAAGAATGGCTGCCCGTTAACTTTCACATCCGAGAATGACTTCATGACATTGTATTGCAACCTGCATGACTGCCTGGGTGGGGCTCATGACCTGGCTTAACCTAACATTCCCTGTCCCGTTACATAGCCTCTCTCGATAACGATTAGCTTTTTATTCATGCAATTTTCAATTACGAATTGAAAAGCAGCAATGACGAGAATGTCTGGTAAAATAAACGTAATAAAAAAGCCTCAACTGCGCCAAAAAAAAACAATACACATCATTACAAACATCATGTCTCCCATTAACTAAATCATACAAATCATACACATCTAAACACACAAAACATGTGTATATCTAATTAACAAAACAAAAGAATAATTGACTGATTAAATAACTAAATGTCAGAAGTAAAAACCCACATCCAACATCTCGACCCGAGTTCCCATGTTCTTCCGAGTGCGGCGACATGTTGGCAGGAAGCGGCGCCCTTGCACGGTGCCACGGTGCCAGACCCGCGCCGAACCAGAGGCCAGACAGTGGATGTTTCTTTTGGCACGCAAACGCCCACCGAAATATAAATGCGCGGTCAGTCCGGCAGTGGCACTGTATGCACAACGAGGGCATACGTTTTGTTCGTAACGGCGTTCATTACGTACGGGGATGTTTGGCTTGGTTTGGCTAGGTCTGTTGACTGCGGATGTTTATTCTAATATTGGCGAGAATGCGGTCGCGTCTATTAGAAATAAATTACACGCAATCAAAAGAGAAATCTCAATGGACATTTTTTTCGCGACGGGGCGCTGATGACAGGTGCGGCGCATGCACGGCCCGTGTCACATGCGTCACAGCCGATGCACGACGGAACACGGTCGTCCGTCACCTCCACGTGATGCCATCTGCCCTACCCCCGACCCCCATCCCGCCATTCACATAGCGGCTATATATAAATGCACATGATCATTCACATTCTCTTGTGTAGAGACGCACATGTGTCTACACGTATAAGAACAGAACTCCCTCCCCCCTTTCAATGGCACCCATCCCTCCTTCCCTTCCGTCTTCTTTGTCGTTGCCAAGAAGTTGCAGTGCAATGTGTCAAGGTGAGGCTGCGTCACGCCGGTGGATTCACGTGAAGACCTGTGTTGTCTTGTTAAACAGAGGTCTTTATTTTAAAATCTATTGGAAAATTGCTTTAATTGCAGCTGCCTCTTAAAGAGAAACAACAAGACAGGAATTCGACAAAACACTGCAAATATCATAACGACAAAAACAAACACACAAGCACGACGCATTAAGAATAAAATAAAATAATAAAAGAGGAGGAGGAGGAGGAGGAGGAGGAGGAGGAGGAGGAGGAAGAGGAAGAGGAAGAGAAGAGAAGAAGAAGAGAAGAAGAGAAGAAGAGGAGAAGAAGAAGAGAAGGAAAAAAGGAGGAGGGAGGAGGAAAAGAAGAAGCTGAAGAAAGGAGAAGTAAGTAGTAAGAGAAAATAAAAAATAACGATAACAATGACGATGAACTATGATAAAAAAATACGAGGAAGTAGGAAAGATAAAAGGTAGAGGAAGAAGAAGAAGAAGAGGACAAAGAAGACAAGAAGAAGCCAGAAATCCAACCCGGTAACACAGAAAGCGGAGGAGCGTCGCCCGTCTCAGGCTCCAGCTCCGCACAAAAGCCTCCATCCTCACCTCCTCGCTCGCCCTCGCTGGGTCAACACCGCCCCCATTCAGGCCCGCCCACGGTTGCGCGGGAATTTGAAAGACCTTGTTCTTGAAGTGGGCGTGGGTGGGCGGGTGGTGTTGGGTGAAAGAGAGAGGGGGAGGGGGTGGGAGAGGTAGGTGGATGAAGGCGGCATGGGCGTGAGGTGCCGGCGTGTAGAAATTAGAGTGGAGGCGGATTGAGGGGGTTATCGAAAGCAGAAAAGTGGGGGGAGGGGGGGGGGTGCAAGAATATAGATGAGAAGCAAAATCCGTGTTTCAGCGAGACATTAAAACGCACCTAAATACTCATTTCCCTACAATTCATCAAGCCAAAATGTAAACCACTGCGAAAGTCTACGGACATAACACGCCAGGTTTTGTTTGGTTCCTGTCACCCTTCGTTTGGGCCACCTTAATCTTTTCAATACCCAATGCAATGTACCCCATACCTCTGAAGTACAAATCTATATCCTGTTATAAGAGGCCATTGAACGGTGCATTTCATCCTCACGGGTGTATGTACAACAACGTATCAGTTCCAAAACATTTACCATTAAAAACTATCACGAATCACAATAAACCACTACGATCCCACACAAAAGAACTGTCCAACAAACACAGACAGACACATCATAAACCATCAGAGCAGAAAACACCCACGCCCCTCCAATCAAACGAGGCGTAAATAACAATGAATCACAACCAGTTATAAAAAGCATCACCATGAGTGAGGCATTATTGCTTTCTTCACATCAATAACAAAAAAACAATAAAATGATAATAATGATGTTAATAATGAGAAAAAAATAATAACAATGATAATAATGTTGATGGTTCTGACGATAATGTTGATAGCATTAACAGTAACTAACAATAATAAAAATTATAATAATAATGATAATGTTAATACTACTACTAATATTTATCATTATCATTACGATTACAATAATAATAATAATAAATAATAATAATAATAATAATAATGACGATGATAATAACAATATCATTAATAATAACAATAATAAGAAACCATGACAATAAAGATAACAATGACGCAATCAAAAACCTATTACTAAAAATCGATGAGCGAGACGAGAGCCCGGCCGAGCTCGCCTTTGGACTTTGTTATTCCCTTCGTAAGGCTTCCGCCGCACGGGTCAGCACGGACTCTTCCCAGGGCGCCGCAAGGCCGATGGAGCTGTTGTTCGCAGGCACGCGGACAGGCCAACCCACATTGACTTGGGATAGACCGCTTATCACTGGGAAATTCTACTGGGTCATATAATTCATATCTTAAGGCTTGGGTCAATAGATGATTCAAATCAACTGCAATATTATGGGTAAATGAATTCCTAAGAAAGACGTGTTAATGAGAATTCCGTATTTAATGAAAGAAGACACTGTCAACAGAGCTGATTGGGGGTGTCATAAAAATTAAACTTAAAATTAAATTGATTAAACTGATCACGATACATTTTCAACCATCCCGGTCTGGCAGCTGCAGCAAGGTAAGGCATACCTGTTCAACAGTGCATGCAAGGCTGCACCAGAACAAACGGAAATTATAACGCTGGTTTGCCTGAACATTGAACCCTTAAAGTTTCATCTTGCAAACAGTAATGGTAAAAAATCCCCAATAATAACTGTAAATATTACAAAGGAAGTATCTGATTTTTTTGCGTTCATAAGAGGAACTTCGTTAAGAATCATATCAATACAAGGCAATATACAATATAAGTGATTTCGGGGAA